CCCGCCGCTGGCCGCCCAGGTGTGCGGCGCTGCCCAGGGGAGGGGCGACGCCCGCGACCTGGCGCCAGCACCCTGGCTGCACGCGCGGGCGCTCCTGCCCCCACCGGACGGGCCCCGCGGCTGTGCTGCAGACAGGTAGGCAGCCCTCGGAGGGCGCGGGGGAGTGTCCTGGGTTGGCAGCCGGCGAGGGGGTGAGGAGGCGGTCCTAGGGGGTGAGCCATGTGCCCAGAGCTGGGCCAAGTTTGTGAAAGTCTCTGAAGACAATTCCCTTTGAGCTGGCTCCTACTGGATCAGCAGGACATTGCGATCTCCCAGTGCCTTATAAATAGCATCACCGTTTCATTGAGAGCTCCCAGTCTCTCTCGCCTCTGCCCATCGGTGTGAACCAGGAGTCCAAGCTCCAGGCTGACCACCCCCCTTCCTTATTTTTTCGTGGCCCTGCATTAAAAAAAATAAACAATCCTTTTTATTTTATGTATTTAAAAAATTGTAGCATAAATGAGTTCGCCTCCCACATAGAGTCTTACAGCGACCCTGGAGAGGCAAAGCACAGATTGACATTTGAGCAGTCTTGCTGTTCAGCAGGAAAGAATAGAGGCTTTAAAAGGTTTTCCCATCTCCATAGCATTCAGCACTAAGTGCCTTTAGGGTTCACAATTATGCACATACTTCAGGAAAGAAAAAGGCTGCAACAATACAAAAATCTATAGTCCTTTATATTCATACATTGAAATGGTACTTTTTTTTTTTCAGATTTTCAAAGTGCTTCAACTTCACTGAAGTTAAAATTACTCTGCAGTGGACTGGAGTACATTTATACTAGCAAGTTCTATTCACTTACCTCCTCAAAAACACTGCCTTGCGGTTTAGTATCTATAAGCACTTGAAAAATCAACAGACTGTGTGTGGGCAACATTGTGAATGAAGTTTGAAGTGAAATGAACCACAGTTATAATTAATAAACCATAACTTCCAAAAGTGATTAGTAAAATAGCATAGGGATAAATTCAAAAAATGTTTGCAGACTTTTTCAATTTAATGGATACATAACAATGTCTAACGCCTCAGGATGATTTTTGCATCAATAATCATATAGTGTGTATTTTGGCTTCAGGAAAATTATCAAAAGTGCTCGAAATGGGGTTTCCATGCCTGGTGATTTTTTTTTAACGCCCCCACCCCCCAAAAAACAACTGTAGGCATACTATAGAAGGTTGATTTATATCAATTAACATATTTTATTTTGACCCATGGAAAGTACATCACTTAGCTTTGCTGTATACTTTATATAATATTAGTGTTGTCATGGAGTGGTACATGTTGGCCTTAACTTTTTAATCTTGACAGCAATTATATTTTACATTCTGTTTTATGTAAATTACATCCTATGTTCTCTTGGTGTAGGAGAAAAAAGAAAGATCTTGATGTTCTGGAAATGCCATCTATTCCAAACCCTTTTCCTGAGCTATGCTGTTCTCCATTTACATCTGTGTTGTCAGCAGGCCTGTTTCCCAAAGCAAATTCAAGGAAAAAACAGGTATGCATTTAAAAATTTTCTACTTCAAAGATCTTTGGAGTTCTAAATCTGTACGGCCTTTAAAGATATTCAGTAACTTACAATGTTAACAAAGGATTAGCATGGCCTATTTTAAATAACTCTATTGACTGATATAGCACTTTGGCATTATTTTCCTTGAGGGCCTCAGTTTTCATAGCTGTATAATGGGAATGTTAAAACTTACTTGTCAGGCTTTTGGGATGGGTTAAATGAAAGAATATATGTGAACTACAGAGTCTGGGAGCTATTATTATTCACAGCATAGATGGGAGAGGTATATGTGATAACAGATTATCAATTTTAAGTCAGACATTGGAAAGGGGGGCAGTGGTTTTGGGGTGGTATTGGCTGACTCCTTTAATACCTTCTTTAATCTTTCACATTTTCAACCCAAGCCAACCTCATTTACCAAAGGAAAGTGATATAGTAAATCTGTGGCAAAAGGTAATTGGAGTTTAGGACTCGACATGTCTTCCTCATTTCAATGAATTCTTCTGTTTGGAGGCTTCTGCCCGCAGAAGGCAGATGACTTGTAAGTGATGATTAGAAGATGGACTTTCTTTTTATGATTTCCTTTCTTTTCAAGTTTCTAGTTTGAGACTGACTTAAGAATATTAGATTTCAAGACCCAAGCAACTATGGGGAGATATATCATGATTATACATTTTGTGAAAGAAAAAATTAGTGTATCCTAGAATAATCCCATCTCTTCTTAACATACTTCCTCCCAGTTTTGAATCAGCAAAACAAAGAGAGGCTTTACTAGGCAAAATGTACCTTGTTCTTGCAAGGGTAGAAGCAATAAATTGAAACAGTCAGATGCTTGCAGTGAGGAGAGGGATAGTGAACAGAGAGAAGACAGTTGATCATTTTCCCCCATCTATTGTTCTCTTTCCTTTTTTCTACACTTTTACTACCTGTGATGGGTTCAATAATGTGTGTTTGTAGTTTGGGGAATGGAGAAAATACCCTAGGGAAGAGATGAATTCCTAATAACCTACAGCAATAATAATAGAGACAGTAGGAAAACATTCCATGGAATATGGTGTTTTGACGGAAGTCTGGTATAACAAGGCATATATACTTTTTTTCGGGGGGAGTGCTGGTCAAGTTTGATTGGTGCATGTGCTTTTGCATAAGGATTGGAGAAAGTGGGAGTAAATATTCCAAGAGCAGAGGTGTGCTCTGAATTAGAGTCTTTGACGGGGGAGCCAAGTCCTTAAGTGAGCCGGATTCTGACTTTGGATGGGGAGATGAACAAGGAAGGGACTCTCTTGAGAGCTGTATTATCAGGGTGAGGTTTAAAGTCAGAGCCCAAGGGAAAAACAGGCCTTCTGAAATGTCTGGGCCTTTGAAGAGCTTGGCTTTTGGGTTAGGATATAAGATGGGAATACAGATGAAAGATTTGACTGTGTGCCATGGTGGTGGAAAAAATTGATTCTGGATTGTCCGTATGATCCAGAATGGGAAAAGGCAATGTCTGATGATGACTTAATAGTCATCTGGGGAATTGAATAGATAATTTCTCTATTTAGGAGGGGGCTGCTATGTTCCTTGCACCATCCTAGTGTCTGAGGTACTGACCTACGCAAACATGCCAGCCAACGTGTTCACCAAGGTGGGGCTTTGATTAGGGGTTGAGTTAAGGGCTAGGATTTGAACAGAGGAAGGGAAGTAGACGGAGAGAGGTCTGGGCTTTCTCTCACTTTAATTTCATGAATGAACACTGGGAGAATGCCTCTCTCTAAGAGATGTGTCCATGGGGCAGGGTTTGTTTCGAATAGAGAGAGAATAAGTGTTTTATGCTTACATTAATAAAGGGAGAAAAAAGAGAGCGTGGGTAGAGGTGTCAGGGTGTGCCCTAAGTGTGGAGAGTCATCATCCTAGAGTAAGACATCTTATCTTGGGGATTGATAACATTTCTTCTGGTCAGGCTTAGCAAAATGGAAAAATGGGAAAAGGGTGCTATGTTACTATTGACTCCGGCTGGTTTCCTGCTCTGGCCCTGTGTCCAGCTTCCACGGTGACCTTCTCAGAGAGCACACTGCACCCACACAGACAGCTGTGCTGTTTCATGAGCAGAGAGTTCTGGTCTGAGTCCTGGAGACTAGTCCCAGAGGGGTGTTCCCACCTTCTGCTGATCTCTTCCTTGGCTGAAGGGTTGGGATCTCTATGAAGAGAAAGATTTCCCCAAGTTGGGGAAGAGGAAGGTTCCTTTTCACATTCTTGTATGTTTCCTTTTCCCCACCTAGACTTTGCATTTAGAACTGACCCTTTGTTTTTATTCCTTTGTATACGCTTAGTTCTTTGGAGTGAGTGAGGTTTTGGGATCAGGTGACTCTATGTCAGTAATTTCCCCGAGCTCCATTATTTTTGTGACACAGATTACCCTTTTACAAGGTGGTATTTCTGGCCCAATTATCTCTGACTTTCGGTTGAGATGATGTAAATGACTGTATGTGATAGTTTTCTATTGACTATTATTTATGGTTGAAATATTATAGGAGACGATGTCTCTTTTCTTTATATTCTCTGTTTCATTTGTTTTGTTTAACCATTCCAGTCATTTTAGCAATTCTTTTCTCCCCATAGAAAAAGTGAAGAATTGCACTTGTTATTTACAAATAAGTGACCAGAAAGTTTGAAAGAATCCAGACTAGAAATGTTAAATTTCATGTGGCCTTTCAAACCACGGTCAAAAATCATTTTACAGGCCATAAATATTTTTTTACAATTTGGGATGCCTCCATAATGCATGAGTGGAAAAGTGCATTGAAGCCACAAATAGGATATGCTTTATCTCTTTTTGCAAATAAAATGTCTCAAAGTATACAATACTGTAGGCTTACAGTATTTTTATTTTAAAATAAGAGTTAGAATGAGATAGAATCTGGATTCTTTATTCCCTCTCCGTCTTTTTATAATACTGTCCAGATACATTTCCTAGGCATATTTCTTTGTGTTTACCAATAAAGCAGATTTAAAGTGTACCTTCCTTTATATACATGGTCTAGATAAGTTATGTGCGATTTAAATTTTGTATTAAAAGTGACTTATGAATTTATGTCTCTCCTTTTTTTTTTCTATGTCTGATTGAAATTTACCAGGAAATCATCCCTTAGTGCTTATCATTTGAAGAAAAGCAAAGAGTAAGAGATGTTTAGCCCTTGCTGAAGAATCAGTTCTTGTCTCAAGTTTGTCTACCCCCAGGTCATTCTTGTGCTTGGGCTCAGCTTGTGTAGTAGCTCTGGTTAATTGCTTTCCAGGACTATGCAGTATAACTAATTCACAATAAAGCCTCTGAAGATTTTAAAGACAATAAGACGCCTATGAAAAACTGTCGTGGAATGTTCCAGCTGGAAGAGATCTTTGAGACCATCTAGTCGAATGCTCTTCTTTTACAGATGAGTAGATTGAGGTTAAGAAATGCTATATGGCTGATAGTGGCACAGCTAGGTCCTGAAATCTGGATTTCTTGCTGCTCTGACAGTCTTTTCTTAGGAAGGTAAAATTTCCACAGAAATCGAGAACTGTTAGGGTAGTACGATAATAAACTTGTACCAGTGTTGTTAGTTATAACTGTCCAAAATACAAGAGCAGGAGTGACAAATGCCATTTATTAATATTTACCTAAGGACCTGAATTCCTCTTTTTTTTCCCTCCCTCAAATATAACTCTCTTCATGTTTTTTCCTCTAGTTTTCTTCTCCATCTTCTCCCTAAAATTGATATAAAAAAATCTATCAAATAATTGGCTAAGCACCAAATAAGATTTACTAGTATTCATAACCAGGTTGTGTGTGTAGTTTACAGTTCACAGTCACAAGAATGCCAGGAAGTGGGTCTGTCATCCACGTTTTAAGATTTTTAAAAAAGTGCAAAAACCAAAAGTGATTTGCCCATGCTTCCACAGTTTAAATAAAGGGAGATCAAAAAGAATATCCTGTCTGAAGGTGCTTTGTCCCTCACCATGCTGTTTCTGGTCTATTCTGTGTTGAATTAAGTCTTTTTGTGTATCTCAGAAAAATTAAAAGATATCTTTCAAATAATTAAGAAATTAGTTTTCCACATGCTCGACCTTTATTTTGTTTTCCTCTTATATTATCAGGGACTATCAAAAGATAAGTTCATCCCTGTCCCCAAATTAAAGGGCCTCTGATGTCATTCCTTTGTGATCTCAGTAATTATCCCAGTTTGTATGGGAATTTTGTGTGGCTGCTACACTAACCGAACTCTCATATACTCATTTCTCTAATATCCACAGAAGTAGAAAGCAATAAGCTATACCCCCATGTTCTCATTTTCCAGATTCAGCAAATATCAAGATTTTGTCTCATTTACTTCATCTATTCCTTTTTGAAATTTTTATTGTCTTTGTTGAAGTATTTTGAAATAGATCCTAGGCCTCCTGTAATTGAATTCGTACCTAGTTTTGTATGCATCTCTGAAAAATACATTTCCTTATATCACCAAAATGCCATTATTCTGTAAGAGAAATAACAATAATTCCTTGGTATCATTTAAAACCATCCATAATCAGATTTTCTCAGCTGGAATGATACATGAAATCCTCAAATTATAAACTGACTATATTTCAAAAGTCTTTAAATCAGCTCTTTGGAAATTTAAATTCATTTTCAGATGGAAACAGCATGGTAAGTTGCATTTAAGTCCCCCAGGCCATTTTACAAAATCCTATTTAATGTGAAACGAAACGACAATATCATATATATGCAGAAAGAATGATAGAAACAATACTTGCTCCCATTAGGGTTTCAAACAAATGTGTCTTTCCAATAGCAATTTGCTACTTTTGAATGTTGGCACTTGATGAATATCATTTTTCTTGGGAGGAATTTGAAAGGACAGATCTTTGTAGCAATATTGAAGCAGGCTTTAGAGCAGTGCTTCTCAAGGTGTAGTCACTAACCACCTTCTTCAGAATCAGCAGGGATGTCTGTTAAAACCGTAGATACTCGA